ATATTATCATTTTCCAGACATGATTATGGTATACATTTTAACCAATATATTCTAGATTTTTTAGGACTATTTTTAGACATTTGGAATGATAGATTTATGTTGTAATCTGTTTTTCTGTTCAAAACTAGTGAATTAGTTTTTCATAAATATAAAAAATTATAAAAAATACGGKTTTAAAAGTTTTTTTATGAGTGTCTGATGTTAAAAGTTGACAAAATCACGAATATTTTCAAATTATTTTAAAGTTATAAGTACAAGTTTTCAATTTTTATAACTTTAGTTTGAAAATGTGGCGTGTATTTATTTTTCAGTAATTTAAATATATAAAAAATATAGTTCATTTTTATAAATATTTTAAGTTAAAAAATTGACGATGTTGTATATTTAAATGACAATTAATAACAAGCTTACAAATATTCTGGCTTATTTTAAWCCATGTATATCGTGAACTTATTCACTCTGTTCTGATACGTTATACACACACTTATAATAGTTAACAATAATAGGTATGTATGATATAATATCATAATAAATTAATAACTATAATATACGATAATATACAATATGTTTGGCAATAATTAATTAAACTTTCTGTCTTAGTGTGTAACTAATAGAAAAACAAATTACTAATAAGTACTTAGTTATACAACTATACAGCGTGTCTGTCTGTTTAGAACCGCAATCATTTATCATTGAATTTAACACATTCATTACAACAGTGACCTATACTCAATGGCACCAGGCGAGATACAATCGAAACCTACAATGCAGCAGAGCGACTGTCCCGGTTATTATTTTATATTTTTAATTGTTATTTATTTGTCACGCGCATAAGATACAATGCGATTTTGAAGACTAGTACTGTATATAYCACGTCAAAATTGTTGCGTATCACTATCCACTATTTATAATATAAATTATAATCCGTAATAACGTTAAATACATTTAATGTTAAATTATATTAAACATCAATTTACTTTAAACAGTTTAAACCCCGAACCTATATCAGCAATTAATATGTAGATATTATACAAAATTATATTTTACGGTAGACATAAAAACTATTAGTTTTTTCATAATCAATAATTATCATAGACACATTAAGGTTTTTATAATACGTCCACGTAATAAATTGGCATGTGTGTATATAGTGCACGTATGGCCAAAGTKAATTTCCACACTATCATTACATTATGATTGAAACATGAAAAAAATAAATGTATTCATCACATTTCCCCCAATTATTACACCAATTAAATACTTTTTTATAATGACATGTACATTGAATTAATATGTATTATGTATATTGTATACGTAATGATAAAATGTGCGTACCTTATTTCGAGTGTTTTACTACATGGAACTTAATTTTAACTTTATGTTTAACCATATTAAATAATTCAATTTCAGACGGTATAGATTGGTCACTCGGACCAAATTTATCGACTTACGGATCCCATCATTATTTATTTAAATTTGAGTTCAAAATAGTAAGTAGTGCAGTTATTAAATCAGAGACGGGCTATAATTATTAACATTTTATCGTCTCCAACTATAATAAAAACTGTTGATGTATGAAAAAAAAATAAAAAGCAATTTAACTACACACTGAACCTAAATTAATGCGGTATTTTTGTCCATTGATTAAGTAAYAATAATTAAATATAATGTTTAAAGCTTTGCTCATAGAACGAATAACAATGCGCACGTGAAACAGAATTGCATTATTTTGTTTGTTGCAACTAGTCAATAAAATACACGAAACTTATAATATTGTGTGAACATTGAATAAGATAKTTATCATGATTACATCTTTTATATTTTTTATTTCGGTCCTTAGCACGATGAAATCGTGTTTGCATTCACCTTGACATTGATAAAAATATTATTATAGGTACCAAACTACACATACCTACAATATTTACGAAACTTTTCTTACATTTTCCCGAGCAAACCGTATGCCTACGTATTTAGGAATATTACCGCATTAAATGTACGTTCAATTCCTATTTTAATAGTGTCTCATTCATATTTATCGAAATGTTTATATTTAAGGTTATATTTTTCAATTTTCTATTATATCTCTAATATCTTTATAAGTTAAAAATTATTATTATTGAAATGTAAATATTTATTTAAGTACCTAATTTACTTATGAGTACGAGCTTTTGGTAAGTACGGAAATACAATTATATATARATATAATAGTTACCGCAGTAAATGCATCACACTTGCAATTCATCGGTTATTATTTTCTTGTTAATGGAAGATCAGAAATAATTCATATTTTTTATTTATCATAATTTCAATTTAAAAACAAATCAACAATCTAAGAATTTCATCATTCCAACTTGTGAACAAAATGCTTGATTTATTTTAACTTTTAAGTGCACATTTTTKATAATTTTTGCAAAACGTGTATAGATAATATGTTACATTTATGTACTAAATKTAATGCTTATAATCTCGCATAAAAGTATAATTATTATTTTGACATTWTAATTTTTAACTAGAGCTTATACCTGMAGTTTCTTAATAATTATCAAATTTATTTCACAATTTTACTTACATAAACTTTTTCATTATTTCAATTGATACAATTAAGGTMTATATTTATTTTTAATTAATAGTTTTCATTATTTAGGTTACACAAATTTTATGAAGTTTAATTGCACAAAACGATACTGCAGATTTAACTGTATACAACTAAAAACACTATAATATATAACTCGATAAAATATTTTGTATAATTTAAATACTTAACTATAATATGTTGCGTCGGTGTGGGTTCCTAACTATAAAAATATAATTTAAAAATATATGTTTATTTCTATACAATTAGTAATTACGATTACGCATAGAGAATAAATCACTAGGTGGATAATTRCTGCAGTTACAGCTTTCTATAGAGTATCGACGGCCCTATAATTTCTATTCGTTTTTTAATATACCTACCTATCATTTTAATTCCCATATGCTAGCCATTTCATTTAACCCAATAAACAAGTAGCAATTGTTAATTCGGCTTGTTTGGGAACCAGTGGGATGCAAGGTTGATTTAGTTTCAATTTCTATCGCATACGCAATATTAAAAACAAACCGATTACCAAGGCTGACCGCTTCTTTTTAAGATTGGTGAAAAATTCCTATCACCTATAGTAATAGGTTTTTAGCAAAATGTGAAATGCAAAATTGTATGACTAAATAATATTATGTATAAGAATTACATTATTATTATCACTTTAAGCAGTGTTACTTAATAGTACACGTTATTATTTTTTTCTATATGTTTGTATGACCTTTCTCGGCTATAATTATTGTGTTTAAAAACGGCCGAATAAAATTTGCAAATCCGATGGTTTGAAAATAGGTAATCGCGTCATCGAATTTTGTTGAAAAACTAACTAACTGTTTATCATAGGATTAAGGAAGTAAAAAATTTCGTAAAAATAATAATAGACATCTCTAATGTTTTATTTAATTTTTAAAATTGTATAATATAAAAATACATTTTATATGGACAGTAATTGTTTATTTTATCGTATATATTATAATCCATTAATTAATTTAATTAATACATTTTTATTTATTTTGAAACAGTACCTAAATAAATACACATACCTAATTAGTTTTAAAAATGCCCGATATTCATAGACCTGCTCTATTATTATATAGTCATTAAAACTGCTCACTGAAAATAAATTTTATGTTAAATTAATTCGTATRATATGAAGTAAGTTTGAAATTGGGTTAAAATAGAAATTTTATTAAACTGTTATTTTACCCTCTGTGGTCTTCATAGACATGGTTTAAAGAACACTATACAACCTTGACGTATGGCGAAACTGAAGGTACAAAAGATGGTTTGGTCATTTTAACCATAGGTAGGTACCTAAGTATTTATTTAAATTATAAGGTAGGTATTAGTCACCAAAAGTATATAAGGCTTGTTTCATCACAAAAATCGTTAAATTATATGAGCGATAAAATAATGAAAATATTTAATATTATTATGTAAAAAATATAAACACATATATTTCTATTAAAAAAAAAAAGATTATGAACAAGAAATTGATTCGTCTATAATATTATGACATTTAGACGTTTAAATAAAATCGACGGTTGAAAAATATTGCACCCTAAAATTTCTAAACAATTTGAATATAATTCTCGAGCATAGAGTTTTGTTTAAGTATGTTATTTATGCATTAAACTTTATTTAAAAAATTTCTCCACATTATGATTGCAAAAAAAGTAATAGGTTTCCATTCGAATTTTTAAAGTTGACCCCCTAAAACCCTTCCAAAATATTGTAAACAATTATTAAATTATGAAATTATAATAGATGTTTCTAAATAGAAAACTTTTCTATTATATAGTTTTTAATATTTTTAATATTTATATGATAAAACGGCTGTAACATAAATTTTGAATCACTCTGTACTTTTATAGATACCTACTTTTATGTTTAAAAATCTGATATATTTACTCGGCCAGTTGGTTATGTAAAAATTTAACAACTATWTAAATTACTTATCTGGCTTAATGATTGACTAGATTGATACAACGWACAATAATGTTTGCTAAAATTAAAGTTTTAGCTGTTTATGATCAGATGTGAATGAGCCGTAATCATCGATAAAAACTTTTCAAATTCTACTAATATAATGCGCCGCGTGATCGATTTGAAATCTCGATCGCAATCATGCCTATACTACCAGGATTTAMATCCTAGCACCAGATAGTATTACGCGATATTATTATATCTCGTAACTATTTAATATCATATTGTATAGGACATAGATATACGAAAATCTGAAGAAAATAACAAACGTATTTTCGGATTATTATTGTATTTTTATGTTCATCTTTAAGTGACACAACTTATATTATATATTCCTGCTCGCCGCGCGTATGCAACATTATCTGCAGCTATATACGGTTTTATGCTGTTTTTAAAACAATAATGACTATCATAATAATAAACAAACATCACATACCTATGGTACAGAGCGGTTTCCTTTTGTGATTGGATGCGTTGGACGTTTCRTCTCTGGAGGTTGTGGATGATGTCTCTGTGGACAAAATATCTTTGCCGCTGACCGTTTCGAGACAGGGCCATTTCGCGTCGTCCTCTTTCTCGTTCAATGGCTCACTTTTCACCAGCGCCGCGGTCAAATTCAGAGCAGCTATATTCGTTTTGTAATAATTCCGCTGACTTTGATCCATGTCGCCCAGCCCCGTTAGGCTCGTGCAGTGGTCGCAAATAAAAAAGCGAATCGACAATAAAAAAGTCAATATAGGTAACGATATCCCGATGCACAATTTATCTTCGTACCATTGTTTCTATATAATATGCTGTCACAAAGCTCTACAACAAAAATTAGACACCAAATAGTCAGTAAAGCTCACGTGTGATATTGATAATACATTTTTTTATGATTAAATAAGTGTATTACGAACGAACGATTAGAACGATTTTATGTTAAATGCATTTTATATTACAAGGCGAACCGCAAGAATACTACTTTCGTTCATTACCTACGTCGGTGATCGCGTAAAGAAATAATAAATCTCGTTGACAACTGAATTAAAAAAAAAATATGTAATAATAAAATAAAATTTTTATTTTTGTATTATTATCAATCATAATATTATAATATGAAGTTTATCATACCTAATACCTATTGTTTATATTATTATTAATTTTATGTTGTGCACGTGTGCACAGATTTTATAAGAAAAAATAGCGTAGTATGAAAATTTAAATTTAAATATTTTTGTAATATTACTGAATTTTAAGCGTATTTTCAATACTTTAAAAAATTGTATTTGTTAAATTTTTAGTACAATATACTATTATACTAACCTACCTAAGTTGTATATTATGTGTGATATTTACTACAATTTGTATGATTAATAAACGCTATTCCTATTATACAATGATGTAAAGACATATTTATACTCAAAATTAATTAATAATAATTCGCTTTCAAAAAATTATTTAAGTTGATATTGAAATTAATTTAAGCACCATAAAAATAAATTATCATATATTATATATGCACATTGCACAAAATGCAATAATTTATCAAAATTAGTTCTCTTAATCGTTTTGATTGAAAATTAAAACGTGCCAAACGTTAAGTAGGAAAAAATATTTCTATTAAAAATTAATTTTTAAGTTACAACCCATATTTGAAGGAATGAGTTATACATTTCTATTTTATCGTAATACATGCGGTTTTTGTTTTTTAAAATTTACCGTATTAAGTCTGCAGAGTAATAATTATGTAAAAAAAATATTTTCAAAACATCGGTAGTTTCTTTCAATTAATTCTTTCATCATTTATGTAGGTACACTGTAACTGTGTAACATAGAAATGATTACACACAATTTATGACTCAATACAGTAGGTATGGTGAGTGTGACCGTAACTTTCGTATTGACTATAATAAAAATACGTATAATCGATATCACGCATTTAAGCATATCATAATATTATGAATTACGATGAATAGAACTATACAGGAGAACATAGATTTGTGATCTTATAACGAACCACGTAGTGGTTATAAGTATACACAAACACGGCTATATTATATGGACACAATGATGGAAAAAATTAAAAGAGAAAAATTAATCATCACTATATAGGTATAGGTGCATAAACATATTGTACATACCTACCTAATTATATATTATATAGATGTGTACACTCACGTTGTTGTCCGGACGTCGATGTCACGTGGTATAGACGTATATATAAATCTTCGTGAAAAACAAATAATATAATTATGAACGTAACGGAAATATAAAAAAAAATAWAAATTTAAAAAAATACTACAAAAACCGAGAAAAATCCGCAAAATTTCACTGCAGGAAAACGTGATCGATTCGTTGGTCAGATGCCCGGCCCGGTCCCGGTGAAAAAAAAATCTATAATATCGTGTGCGTAGCAGTATTGCGTCAAAATTTAATATAATGTAAGAAAAATACGCTCAAGCACACACACATACATAACACGTGCGATATGTATTATATATTTGTACAATGTATAATATACGCAAGGTTTATGTGTCGATATTGCAGTTAATATATTTGACCAGAACAGGACAGATAGAGCCAACGGGCACCGAACAATGACTGCAGTCTGTGGAGTATCGGATCGTTTGCCGGGTGCCACTATACGCGGATCCGCTCGTCGCTCATGGCCACCGAAGCTCCCTTTCCCTTCGCGTTGTAGTCAAATTGCATACGCTGGTCCCCGTGCAACACGTATCGTAGTCTCCTCGTATCTGCAGCAGCAGCAGCGAATGTCTATTAATTATATCGACAATAATAGTAATAATAGTAATAATAGTAATAATAGTAGCAATATTATTGTGATCGCGGATTCACACGGTTGTCGCAGCGGTGAATTGCAAAAAAATAGAAATATATGATATCAAATTGCTAATAAACAATTCGAAACAAAAAGTAGGAAATGATTTCAACCTATACGCGCGCGCTCGCGTATAATATATTAAGTATACAGCTGCAGTGTAATAACAATGATATTAGTAGGTATACGATATGGGAAGGTACGATGACGACTCACGTTCGAATATAATATAATGTAATATGATGGGTATTGTACAGAGGATTGACGAACAAGACCGTCAATCGCATATTAATGTCTGCAGTATATTATATATAAGYACGATAATATCATTTCTTGTCGTTGATATATAAGTGATACGAGGTAATAACTCATCCTGCACCTGTGGTATACGATTTGCATAGTGGTCAATTCAAAACCATTTCCGCAGATCCGTCGCACGAGATATTTGATTACAATTATATACGATACTTATAAGTATAGGGACCGGATTAATATGCATTGTAATATGCATGTTTTTTCTAAACAGTTCAAAAATATCCAAGTATACTACAATTATTATTGATTATTATAGTCAATAGATACAATATACAAAGTTTTATTTTGTATATTTTTGCATATTTTACCATTTTTTGACATGTAGGTACTGCATATTTTTGTATTCTATACAATTTCGTGTTGTATATGTACGGGTTTTAAATGCATAATTTGTAATATTTTTCTGATATTAACTAAAATGACATATTTAAAGTCATATTTATAGTCCATGAAATTTGAAAAATTCGTTTTTTTTTCATTTCAAGGCCTATTGGGAGAAGTAGCTAGTAATCTGTTATTGAGTACGTTTTCGTGAATCATATACTTAAATCATGTTTGTTTCTTCATGTGTTTTGCTTATTTTTTATTTTATAGAGTATATTCCTATAAAATATAAGAGTATAAATGCATGTTTTATAGTGCATATTTTTTAGGTTTTTAGAGCATATAAATTCGAGTCCTACTTAGAATTTACGCGTTTGTCATTTTATGCCTGAACGCAGCACGTTTGAGCACAAAGAATTGCTACAATATTATTTGACTTTACCTTCTAAATTTTTTTTCTCATTAAATTGTTTCTAACCGTAACAATAACATAAAGATTAAATTAATACCAAAGTTATAATTTCGTGTAACAGTACTTAAGTTGTCCTTAGCGWYCAATGACTGAAATAATTACATTACCCTAACCGAACCTAATCTAACCTATCCTATACAAACTACAATAAAAAAAAAAATTTTAAATTAAAATTAAGAAAGCTCACTCTGTGAACATGCTAAATTCTGGAATTCCAATCATATTTTAATTAACTATAACTCYCAGTACAATTAAAATAGAATTTCGTAACCTTTATAAACTCTGCGGGTAATATATTTTGGCTAGTATGAGTCTATATTAAATACGTATACAATAAGCAATTATAATATCTTAATATCAACAATCATAATTAAATATTTTATTACATGGATGTGTTGATTTGAATTTTATTTATTTWATATATTTTTGATTTCAACTCTTATTTTCATAGGATTTAATATTAGGTATGATTTACAAATACAGGTTATTTTATGGGTTTAACACATAATATAGGTTATAACTATGGCCCTATTTACAGATTTTGAGGACAGGGAGTTTGATTTTAAAGAGGCCACCATCCCCGTGGGTTATTTGGAAATAAAATTAAAATAATGCAAATAGTACTATCGACAGTAATATCACTAATATACGTTTTAAGTTTTTAGCGCAGAAATAAGTTATAACTTTCTACTTTTTTTTATTACTATTATTTTAATCACCATAAAATGTTGTTCTGAAATGACATTAGTCTATTAAAAATGATATGAATCAAAATTAGGCCTCTTTTAAATGGAGGACAGTTGACTAGTCACCGAAGTACTCGCCTAAATCAACACCTGAATGTTGCTATACATAAAACTTTAGGAATTCTGCCGATTTATCCGTATTCTGTAGAGGCAAAATTGTACACACACTGTATCTACTTGTCAATTGTCAACCTATAACAAGAATAATAATCAAGGATTGTTTTTTACGTATGACGTCTTCAATTTATTCGTACCTATTCGTAGTGTAGTTTAGGTGATAATAAATATTAAAACAAAATGTACCTACCTACGTCATAAATCTAAACGCACGTGACTCCGAAATTTTGTGTTGTGCATCCGCCTATCCCACTCTTGCGAGCCGYGTAGCTGATAGAAGTTATTACATTATCATTTAAATAATACATACCAATAATATACGAAACTAAAACTAGAAATTAGTTGGCTACTGGAGCTGATGTTTTATACATATATTATTATCAGAACTCATTATTTATACTCGCCAACTATTATTTAACTCAMTATTTTATTTATAGCATAAAATTAATATAGTATATCGATACGATTCCCAGCGGATTAACCAAAAGACTGTCAAGATTTCTTTTAAAGATGACTAATTATTGGTTACCTAAAAATTTGAACATAAAGTTAGCTCTATTATCGATAATCCTAACCTTACATTAATTACCTAACTTGTGCACAGCTAGAACTTGATACCTATGTGATAAATTATTATTTTATGTATATATATATATAT